CCCCAAATGAAACAGAAAGAGTCAATGTGCTTGCTGACAATATACTCACTGCCAATCCAGTGCGGAATCACCAAGTCCATTGCTCCTCTCCTTACACCTATAGCCAGCAAACTACTCTAAGAAGTCGGCTCACCTAACACTAAAACACCCCGCCCGCCCACCCACCCGTCCCCCGACTCATGACAGGAGGAGATGGGGACGATCCATGCGCCCTTTCCATAGACAGCTAGACTCTTTGTCCTCTGCCCGACCACAAAGACAATAAAGCAAGCCATGCCTTTCCAAGAACCCAATGAGAATCACAAATTCTTCACCAGACTCTGAGTACAGTGTTAGTGCCATGTGTATTCATTTCGGGACTGGGCAGGAAATATTCCTCCTTACCACACCTTCCTCCTACAAAGCGGCGACTTTGCTAGTTAGTCACTGCCATACCTAATAAAGAAATGTTGACAAGTGCATCCCATGTCTCCGTTGAGTTAAAGGCCCCGAGAAAGGGATTCCAAACATTTATAACAAAATGTGTGCAGCATTATCATAAGAAAAGATAGGTGTCCAGGCAAATACCTGTCAGATCGTCCTCCTTCCAAGCTGTACCTTAGGTAGTTCATGCCATCTAAGAACTGGCTGCTTGGTAAAGAGTCATCTCCTAGTTCTCTGAGGTCTTCTGGCCTAAGGTACTCTCCTCCATCTCCTGTCATTGTGTCATCACCTTTAAACCAATCACAGAAGGGACAGAGATAAGCACACACCCAAGTTTGATTTCATTTACATGTTGGGATCTAACAACTGGAAGGCACAATAAACAGGAAGGCATTTTCCACTCAGGAAACACTGCAAACCACAAGCAATTAATGTATTTAATGAAACCGGCAGGTCAAGCAAGATTAAAAAAAAAAAAAAATTGACATCAAGGTGATTAATCAATTAGAGATAATCTAATTTTTGCTGTTGCACACACTGGTAAGGGGAAAATTTCTCTGCTACTCTCTAAAGCACGGTCTCTCTGTTCCTTTATCCATTTTAGCTCTCTGGTCACAGCTATACCGTATCACAGCCTGACAGTTTATGATTAAATATAACCACTTACTTGACTGTAAGCTACGTGTTTTCAGCTGAAAAGGTGTTTTCTGTGGCCTTACGCCTGATAGTTGCAAATCCTAATTTAAACTCTCCATTGTCCAAACTCCACATCATATGAGGCTGTCTCACCCATGTTCCAACATCCTTCCGTGATCAGCAAAAAAATTCTTATTTCTAAAACACGGCAATATCCAGAAACAAGCTCACGTAATGGTAATGGTAATAGATGCCATAGATCGTAATGATCGTTAATGAGAAAAGTAACTCATAATGAATCAAAGCCTAAATGATCATTGGTTATCTGACATAGTAACCTTTTTGCATATACTCTGAAGAACAGGGTTGAATTTCTTTTTTTAGGTCCAAAATTATTTTCCCCAGGAAATTCTGTCTATATGAAGTCACAGTTTGCTTTTCCCCAGCAGACTGACAAAACAGATTACATTGCCAAGCAACATGGAGATGTTTCTTTTCATTCCCATTTGCAACGCGGTTTCCCTCCACAGCTTCTGCCTGGAGATTTCACTCATTTTCCCAATGGTTTCTTACGGCTGCGCGAGCCTGCCAGAGGCTTGGTGTGGCCCGCAGAACCGCACAACATGACCCTAGGCCGCCGATATCTTCAAACTTGCTCATCTGCTAAGCTGCATGGGCAAACGTCAAGAACCTGAAGCTCAGTTACACGAAGGAGACGGCCACTGTTGTACAAAATGTGTAGTCTTCAGGGGCTACACGTTCCGGCTGCAGTAACTCACCCCGATACGCTGAGAAACACGAGGGATTGTAAAGGTTAGGTGAGTGGTATCCGTGCCGTTTCAAACAGAATTCATCCGGGCATCAGGCCAGTTGCCACTTGTGTGATTTCAAGTCTTAATAAAGCAAAACTCCAAAAAGCGATTACTGTCACTGCTGCTATTTCTGGTAGAGCGTCTTCCCCCCTCCCCGCAAAATGTTATTGGCATTACAAGCCATAGGAGTGCTGCTCGCTACTAAAGGAAGAAATCTTATTATTTGTTTCAATTATTCAATTATAAAATCAATTATTTGATTGAAACAAATCAAGCGAGTTTCTCTAGTTTGATGTTTCAGCTAATAGAGAAATAATTTATAATTTTTCATCTAAAACTAAGTAACCTTCGGGGTTTTTGAAACTTTTTTTTTGTATACACAAATATCGCACGTAAAAATGAGGCCTAAATCTTTTCAGCATAACAACAAAAGCTCTTGAAAATTCCATCTGCCCACATTAAGAGGGAGAAACTGGGCACAGTTTCACAGAAAACAATAAAATGCATTTAATCATTGCATGTTTCCTGTCTCTGACAGATGATGCCTCCTGTTTCCTGGGAATGTCACATTATAAAGCACGGGGCTTAGTGAAAACTTGGAAGATATTAAGGCAACGCTGTTAATCAAACAATAAAAGGAATTTCAAGCTGTATTTCAAATAAACTAGATACTTATAATCATGCCAGACATTCTGTCTATAATAGAAACAAAGGCAAAATCTTCACTGCTTTCATCACATCCACATCCTTTTAAAAAAAAAAAAAATTCCAAACTCTTATTTCAGCTTTGGCCTCTCATCTAAGAGTTGTTAATAATGGGTCTAAGTAACATTAGTGGTTTTATGTGATGTGAACATCTGCAGACAGTAGTAAGACTACCCAGGAATATTTCACAGTGTCTTCAGAACATTTCTCTGTTGGTAACACAGCTTACTTGCTACCATCCTAGCCTTGGGCGAGCGAAGTAAAAGTTAAAGTCACTCCCCGCCAACCCCTTGTGCCCTTCCATCTTTCCTTAACGAGATGAACGCCCAAAACAAGTTGTGCATCTTAGTATACGGGAAGGGGAAAAAAAAAAAAATGTATTTAAGTCTAAATGATTGTGTAGCAACATAACATTTCATACCGTTGTGGTTACCCAAGCGTCTTAATTCCTGCTTTGCAGGGCAACTGCACATACGCAACGGGAATTAGAAATTGTGAGTCTGTGTAACAAGCACTCATTCGTGCTGCCCGTACTATTCTGTTGTCGCTAAAATACCTGACGCGGCTCTATTCCCGAGTCTCACCCAATCCAAACGTACACAGACGTGTTATCTGCTGAGAAGAAATTACACATTCAGCTGCCAGTGAGCTTCTTCACACAGCAAATGATACCAGACCGTAGTTTTGTGGCGGTACAAGAAATTATCCTTTTAAATCACGTTAGAGACGGTTCATCTGCCATCGCATTCCCCATCAAATTAATGACAGTAACGTTTTCAGCACTTACTAAGCAGTTTGTGACAAATATAGCCCTTGACATTGATGCTCCATCGTTCACAGTGGCCACCTATGAACTTATGGGTGGATTTTGATGAGTTACTTAGTGATTCACCTCTATTTACTTGAAAGAACACCGTCCTTTCTTCAATGACACCAGCAGGCTTTCCGAGGTTTACCTGATGGGAAAACAGACTACAAAACACTGGCTGACCTTGCACTGTGCCCCAATTAAAGCATTCCTGTTCAGCCTTGGCCTCATCGCTGCTACTGTCCATCTCTCAAATATCTCTAATAAAAATTTTGTCCAAATCTGCATTTCTGAATAACATCAGCTCCTTTAGGGCAGGTTTGAAAGGAAATAAAATGCACTAGAAGGGAAGTATCAAGTACCCGGACTCTCTTAAAAGAAACACTGGGGTAAGGACACTGGAATAAGAAGTAAAAAAAATAAAAATAAAATTGAAAAAAAATTAAAACCCCCAAACCTAGGGATCTATTTATATTTAAAGAAAAAGTGGCCAATAGCTGAGTCCCTGCACTTGGCTGCTGCTATTATTTTTTCTTTGCAGAGTGCAAAGGATTCCCAATACAACAGGTAGCTTTTCCAGAGCGGAACACACGAAGCATCGTGGTCCCCCTGCGCTCTCCGCAATGATCTGGTTAGCCCATGCATCTGTTTCCAGCGGCCAAGCTAGTGCCCTGAAGCAAGATGCGTACAGGTTTGCAGCACTTGGGGTTCCTTATTTTCTCCTCAGAAGGGGGAGAGGGGGAAAAAAAAAAAAAAAAAATATCAAAGGAGAGAGATGACTTGAAGCAAGAAGATGGAAACAAAGAGTGGGGCCGGCAAGGGCCAGGTTGCAGGGAGAAGGGGTCCCAGAGACAGCAGGGTTTAGCGGGTTCCAGGCCTGTTACTAGGAAAAAAAGAGAAGGATATGCTAAACAAGGCGCTAAACACTTCTATGAGGTGCTGGCCACCCACAACAACTATTAAATCAAGTGGCCTCTTTGGCAAAACTGAAGACCCAGCACTTTGCAGGACTGGATCCAAGAGAGGGAAAGAAAGGACGAAAATGGAATGGAGAGGTGAAAAAGAGAGACCGTAAACCCAAGAAGCAAAATGGGAAAATTAAATAAACTTTAGGATTTAAATACTATGCTTAAGGCAAGGAAGGCCTGATACAGAAACTCATACCGGGCAAGCGAAAACTGCCTTGATGGCTGTTAGTAACACCTGACACAAAGTTTTAAATCTTTGTCACAACCAAGCCAACCAAAGGCCTGTCTGTTTTAAGCAGCGAAGAGCGGCACAGAGCTTCTTGGGCTGGTGAGTCCGTACGTACCAGACCACAGAGCCGTGCAAACGCACCGCGGCAGAGCTATGGTGATTCCGTGCTGTACCTGAGCAAACAAGCTCCTGCAGCAGGGGTTATGAAGCCGGCAGCGTGTATCATTGTCCTGGTTTCGCCTGGGATAGAGTTAATTTTCTTCCTAGCAGCAGGCACAGTGCTGTGGTTTGGATTTAGGATGAGAAGAATGCTGATCACACGCTGATGTTTTGGTTGTTGCTCAGTCCTGCTTACGCCAGTCAAGGACTTTTCAGCTTCCCATGCTCTGCCAGGGGCACAAGAAGCTGGGAGGGGGCACAGCCAGAAGAGTTGATCCCAACTGCCCCAAGGGCCATTCCATACCATACGGCGTCATGGGCAGTATAGAAACTGGGGGGGTTGGCCGGGGAGCAGCGATCGCTGCTCGGGAACTGGCTGGGCATCGGTCGGCGGGTGGTGAGCAATTGCATTGGGCAGCACTTGCTTTGGATATTGTTATTATTATTATTACATTGTTATTATCATCATTACCATTTTACTTTATTTCAATTATTAAACTGTTCTTATCTCACCCCAGGAGTGTTTCTCACTCTCACTGCTCCGATTCTCTCCCCCATCCCACCGGGGCAGGGGCAGTGAGCGAGCGGCTGCGTGGTGCTGAGCTGCTGCCTGGGGCTCAACCCCGACACTCATGAATCCCT